CCTTTCTAAAATCATGGACTAAATTAATAATAAAAAAAAAATAGGCACATGCCCTCTGGAAACATACAAGTTACTGTGATCACAGGATGCCAATCCTTAGACAACTAATTCAAAAGCTTTGCACACACACCTAGCTTTGTTAAGAAAAACGATTAAAAAGGGGAATTTTAACAGTTTTGCTATAACATTAATCGTTTTACAGAGACATAACTAATTTGCCTTAGTATCAGAAACTTCCATGTCATTTAAATATTTAACTTTGAAATTCCAATTAAACCACTAAGCTTGATTAATTTAGTAAGAGTAAAAAATGTGCGGAAATATTTACTTTTCTTTGGGGCACTCTGTCCCAGTTTTTCAAAACAGAGAGCCCCTGTAGTGTGCAGTATTTATTTACAGTATCTGCTTCAAGAAAGAGTTTAAAACATCAGCCCACATTCAATTTGAAAAATCTTCCAGAACAACCAGCTGGAAAACAAATGGGGACCACCGAGAGCAAACAAACAAAACATATCTTTTTAGGTCAGTCCCACCCTTCTTGTTCCTGTGAAACGTGAATAACTCCACAAAAGAGCTACAATATTTTTTGCTGAGGCAGATACTTGCCTCTTAAAGCTATTATATTTAAAACATATTCAAAAACTTGGCTGAAAGTAGAGATATATAAAGCATAACTTCCATTTTTTTCAAAATCCTTTAAATAACGTCTGTAGAAGTAACTTCCAAATTAAGTAGGTTTCCCGTTATTAGATTTAAAGCAGCAGAATTAGTTTACATCTTGCATTAGAGAAAATAACTTTGGTTTTCACAAAATAAATACCATTTCATATTAAAAGAGGAGAGAGACAGAGAATCGACTGTTCTCAGAAATACATCAGGGCCTCAGAAAAGACAACTGGACTCCTTGGCTTTAATAACAATCCAGGAAAAATTGTCTGTCAATCTGGACTGCAGACAGCACTGGGGAGAAAAATGATGCAACTGTGCTCCTTTTCTATCTTAGAATAATTACTATCAAAACATTAGTAATGACACAGTTCTGAGACAAACTATTTAGAGAGGCGCTGCGCGTGCAGTGCCAAGTCATATATTATAGACTTCACTAGAGTTAAACAGCCTGATAAATCCTGCGGTTTGGATAGCGTGAGGCCCGATTTTGTACAGCAATATATCACGAACGCCAGGATTATGCAGTTCGGAAAGTTCTCAAAGACTCCATGCCTCGCAGCCGGAGAGGGCACCCCGGACCGAGCACCGCTGCCGCTCTTATCGCGCACTATGAAGTTCTGTCTAGCTACCAGAATTTTCCACGTACCATTTAAAAAGACAGAACGCACGAAACTGATGTTAGCACCGCCTATCCTGACGCCTGCATATCCAGCTTCCTGTTCCCTTAGTGCTATATTTCTCCAATCTGTTTTTGCGCCCTTCCATGTGACTACAAAGCGGCAGGAATTATGAGAACCTGTAAGGCAGAGTTCTGGTTTCTTTCCCAGGCTGAAATAAATAGTACAAATCAATAAGTGGCATCTCCATTTATGGATGAGAAAACCCACAGTGTGCAAGGTAAGATGCTATACGAACACTAGAAACATCCCTAAATTCCATACTCTCTTCTAATACTCAGTCTAAAGTTTTTAGAGAGGTACATTTCAAGAAATGTAAGTTTTTAAATGGCCACATGCATTAGGGTAAGGATGCACCATCGGGCAGAGAGGGCTGATGTCCACGCTAGGGCTGGGCGCGAGCCTTCCAGCGCCGCCCCGCGGCAGAGCCGATACGCTCAGCGGCACGGAGTGGCGCCGCTGGGGCGGCTCCGGGGCTGGAGACGTCTTGCACTGCCGGCCTCGGAGCACGGGCACAAAGACGTGCCGCTTTCCGTGTCTGCCTGCGCAGACCTGGCCCCAGAAGCCAGGGCACGAAGCTGGAGCCAGGACCGAACTGCAACTCGGGAAGGTAAGCGACAGGCGGGAAGGCTGCCTGAGAACGGGTAACGGACCTGGAACAGAAACCAGCTGACACTGGGAATCACTCGGATGAGGGAGAAAGAGAAAATGAAGACAAGAGACATATGTGGAAGAGTCACAGGACATGAGACATACAAGAGGCTAGGACACGAGTAAAAATGGCTCAGTACGAAACTAGTCTTGGGAACACAGTAGAACGAAAGTAGGACTAAAAGATGATGCCCAGGCCAACTCCTCTTTCAGTTCCTAAGCTGTTCATGAAGAATCGCAGCTCTCGCTTTCCCGCATGACGCGAGTCTTCATGCGGCGAGCACCCAGTTCTGCAGCTACGGGAAGCAGCATACAAACCCCAGCAGCCCATCAAAAGAGGCGGCAAGAAAAGTTCATAGAACTGAATATGTTTCTGCCAAGTGTCTTGGGCTTCACAGACTGGTTTTTGCTACAAAGTCTTAGAGAAAACCTGTTGCTAAAAGGTATAGTAAAACACACAAGCAAATTCTTAACTCTGTCCTCAGAACAAGGTTAGAAAATCTGGGACCATGAATAACTAAAAGATACTATATAATTGTATACTGATTAAATGCCATTTATTTAGCGCAAGGATTTTCATGGGGAAAAATAGCATGCTATCATATAATTAAAGACTGCATGATAATGCAGGTACAAGTGGGTGAACCAAGGTCACTAAGGTTTTGAAGTATTAGACTGCAAGCACTGTAATGCGTATTAAATTCAAAAAGCCCTTACATTTAAAAATAGACCAAATGGAATAGAAACAGTGTCTGCACATACTTATACAGCTGTGAACAGTTTAGCACTGGTAGACAAAAAAAGTGCAAAGTAAGAGAAGTACAGAGAAGAAAAGCATGTTTTTTGGATTTAGTCAGAAGCATTCTGAGGTTTACCCACATGTATATATTAAAACTTTAAGGAAATAACCAGTTAAACATTAACCTTACAGAAAGAAAGACTTTCCGTGTACCAGTTTTTCAGATACAAAAGAAAGATTCTCCTTAACCCAAATGCAAACTCTTATTCCCCAATTTTTCTTCATCAAAATTTGGGAGTTCTCCATTTTGGAGCAACTAAAAGCATACTCAAAAGGCCATCCTTGCAGGAAACAGTAACAACAACAGCCAAAAGATTTAACCTCACCACGGCACATGTATAAATAACCTCTCAGCTCAGTAAAATTTACCTTTTAACTGATAAAAAGTCTTCTATTCTGGGGTTCCAAAAAAAAAAAAAAAAGAAATATATATATATATATGTAGAGAGAGAAAGAAAGAACTGCCTTCTTTCTTAATTTGAGCTTTCCTCAAACAAACAGCTACTCTCTGTTCCCTTATTTTAGGTCAAATAATTCAGTTAAGCATGCCATGCTCTTTAACTATTTCCCACCTGCTTTTCTCTTATAGAATCATTTGGGAGCTGAGAAAATCTAGAGTGATCCAAAAACCTAATAAAACCAGGGCTGCATTAGCTCAGATGCACCTGCCAGCATCCACTGAATTTGGTAATGCGTGACTTACATTAAAGTTTTAGTAGCCCTGCAGTCAAACTTGGTGGGGGGGAAGTGCTATCACAAGAAAACTCCTGCTTATGTCAAAAGATACTGAACAGACACCAACACAAATGCATCACAAACAGTAAATAGTCCTTTATTTCGCAACACAGAAGTGAGATGCAGAACCCTGATCCTGTGTGTCCCAGAGCTGATGCTCCACCAGGCTTGGCCTGAGCTGACTAGTTCCAAAGATTTTCAATTCATGCTGCTTGAAGAATCGGTAATAAAGATCTGCAGAACAAGCTTTCTCCCAGCAGATCACGGCTGCCCAGACATACGTAAAGGAAGACAATTAGTTTTGTACACTGCCCAAAATTTGCACCAAGTAGATCAGTTTTCACTGTGTTGCATTGCACAGCCTCGCACTGCAGGTGAAAAGAGTATCCATGGTGGCACAGCACCCTAAAAACATGGTGAGTTTTGTTCTCCAAAAAACAGCTAATGAGAGGTATTCAAAGTTCAGATTTTGAGAGCTAAATAACTTACTCAAGAAATTAAGACCGCTCAAGAGAGTTGTACATGCTTTACTTCAGAAAGTAAAGATGTAGTTGCTGTTTTCAAAAGTTCAAAAATTAAGCTGTACCCTCATTCTCGACCTGTCTACTAAAACAGAGAAAGGCAAATACGCAGATTTCATGTGAATTAAAGTGACTCATTAGTAGTTCAATTATATTCTGGAATTATGTCTTAATTGGTTTGCTTATAGACGAGCTGTACAGCTAACCAAAAATCTACTGCCATATAATCATCACTAAATTCAGATATTGCCATATGTAAATTTAACAGCAGATAATGAGTGGAAAAATTAGCTCTATTTCCATAACAGATATATTCTTCCCACAATATTACCTGAGGTGTTTTATATAGTTAGTTTTACAATAAATAGACAAAAAAGACACATGACCCTATCCTGAGTATCTGACATTTATTTTGGCAGAGTCCATACACTCAAAATAAATAGCATGAGAGACATGTCTCTAATTAATGTCCAATTAAAACAAAGTCACATTTCCAAAATCTTACAGGAAACTAAGAGATCGAGCCCTGCATTTTGTTGCGTTGCTGGCTGTTTCTTTTCCAAACAAGTTTTCTTTTTTCAGGTAGCGTTCCCCATGCCTAACACCACTTCACATCGCAGCATATAAGGTACTCCTGGCTAGGATCAGTATTACACATAGATGATGCAAATGATCCATAGGACAAAAAACTCAGAAAGGGTAAGGACTGCCATAGTAAATGCAGACTCACCAAGTCAAGGATTTGTATTTTTGTAACTAGAAGGAGAAAGAATATCCAACTGCTTTCATATAGCTTATTTTTTATGTTAGTTATTAAAAAAAGCTTAAAACTTCCAAAAGTGGAACCAGGCTTCTGAACTCCAGCTGCTGTTCAATTTCAGACATTTTTGAAGGAAAAAAATAATCTAACTTATTATTCATGTTTGATTACATAGATATTTAACTTACTTTTGCTGTCTAAAGGAAACAGATTTCAAAGATCTTCTCTGTAAATGACATATTCTTCAGTATTTATACCTCCAGAGATCACCATTGTCAATAAGGATCTGAAAAAAAATCAACACAAAATAGTATATAAGCCAGGTCAGTTGCAATTATACTTAGAATTTTTTAAAAATTATATTTATATATTTAATCAAGAAGGCACAAACTAAAATTGTAAATTTATTTAGTGCTCTTAAAAGCAAATGGACAAGCACCAAAGCCATTATAGTGGAAGGCATTTATCTACTTACACATAACTACTTTGCATTAACATATTTAAGATTCTAAATACAGCAAACTCAGGAAATTCACTGTTATCATACCTCAACAACAACCACCACCACCACCACCCCATGAGTTAAAGGTTACATAAGACATGAAATACATATATTAGTACTGAAGAAGGCTATATGATATGCAATAATAAATAGATTTATTATGAAATGTTAAAATAGCTCCTCAAACTCTGAAAAACCAAATTAAAGATAACTGTATGACAAGGTCCCTAAAAATGCCAGTTGCAGTTTTAAGCAAAAAAAATGCTGTTCAATAACATAACCATACAGCGCCATTTGTTAGGGCTGTTTTCTTATTTCAGAACTATAACTACAGGAAAATGAATTAAAAAAATATAAATGTCTGTGCTTATGGTAGTGTCAGAAATCAAATGAACTAATCTAAGTTTGTTGAAGCACATTAATTTTATTTCATTTGGAAAGTAACTTATGCTAAAACGCCCAAGAGTTACACGTTTTAAAGTCTCAATTTCTTTCAGTAAAACGGAAGCCGCTCAACTATTATAGCCACAATAATATCTCGGAGAACACTTCCTTCGTAAAGGAACTTCAAAGGGCAGCTCTGCTACTTAACGCAGGTGAAGTCTGATAACAGCCTTAAGTCAATACAACCCTCGTGTACATGCTTGACGTTATATATAAAATTAAGCTCCGCTGGTCCTGGTGTAGCCTAATATATACTCCAATATTCTTGAATTCTTTTGGTCCTGATTTAGCAATAGAAGCCATTAACGAGAAAGCAGAGTTAGAAAATTTTCTTCTTGTAAATAATTTTCTCCTCTGCTCAGTCGATTCGGCTTGGTTTTCCTTGTCTCGGATTAAGGAGGAGCCCAGCTTTGAGCGGAGGCAAAGGAAAAACCCTCAACGACTGCGGACGCTGTATGATCAGATCGACAACGCAACTCAGGTTAAAATGGGCAATTCATTCAATTTGCCATTCTTTCATTTTTTTTAAGAGCTCCTTTATTCATTTATCCGCAGGCCTGGACGCGCCGGGGGCCTGCGGTTGGGAGTTTGCAGTGCGAAGGTGGGGCTGACCACACCAGAGCCCTTCACAGGCTCGGTGGCCCACGCGCCGGCCGCTGCTTCGAGCGCCCAGGCCAGTGTTAATTACCTTTAATGGCACAAATGCTAAGGTTTTGCAGTTTACCTGTATCAACGGATAAATTATGTCACCTCAGCTTTACAGTACTGGCTTTATCTGCTTTGCCCATGCTTCTAACAGAAATCCAAACCCCAAAAGTTTCATCGTGTCAGAAGAAACACGTGTGAAACTGACTTCTTCCTCAAAACAGCAGGTTATCCAGTGCTTAGATGGACACTTGCGCCTCATTCCAGTGCCTCCAAAAGTCTAAAATCCTTGTAGAAGAGTAACCATCATACCAGGCTCTAAAGTAAAACGTTACAGTTGCATATGCTACCATGAATATGCCCCCCCCCACCCCCAACAGAAAATTTTAAAAATAAATTCGCTGTATGTCATGTCTTGACGCTTGCCAAGCTCAGAGTTGATGTATCGGTATGGGGGAAAACCTCCAGATGCGGAACGGCCCCGTTACAGAACTGAAAAGCTGCTGTGCGGGGACGCGGAGCGACGCTGCCCCAGCAGCCTGCTGCTTTCGGACGTGGCTCACGATGGCGTTGAGGGGGAGAAGAGGGGAAAAAGTATTTCAAATAACCGAAGCCTAATGAAATACCTCGAAGTGCACGGAGGTTGTCTGCAAAACAAACGGGCAGCCATCAAGTTTTGCTGACAGGCAGCTCATAGTCACTAAAGGGCCGGACACAATAAGGTACTGGCTGTTGTTGCTTTAAGGGAAGCGGGATGAACAGTACAGCCAGGACACTCAAACCCACGACTCGGCCTCCAACAGGTCTCTATTTTGTGCAGCCATGACATTCGCCGCTTTGGTTAACCCTGACAGGCATGGCAGCGTTTCACTTGTTTGATACGCCACACCAACACGCTTCGAGGAGCAAATCGATGCAGCAGCAAAACCAGATCCATCCACAGATTTGTTTAATAAACTCTGCACATAAGATAGTTACCACCGTAAGTAAATACGACCCAGAAAGAATACCTTCGAATGGTTACATCTTCAGATCAAAGTTGCCCTGAGAATTGAAGAATTATTTTTTTTTTTTTAAACAGAAAATATAACATGGAGCAACTGCAAGGAAAGAAATGTAGCGTTTCATTGTACCATTTTAAAAATTATTTGTCAAAGTGTTTCAGAATATGATTTGTTTTCCCTAAAAGCTACTCGGCGCATGTAATTAGGTGCTGAGACAGTCTATCAATTGCCCTTCAAACCTAGCCTTCAAGTTTCTCAAGTTGAATCCTACCCAAAACTCCCCAGATTTTTTAAATGCTACCGAAAAGATTAACTTTTCTTTTTGCCTGCTGCATAAGTCATTCCCACTGTCTTCTACATATTAGCAGATTATATTTTCTTTTTTTGTTGGCATTGAATCGCACAAGCGAAACACAGATATTTAAATTCTGCTCCCATTGCAGATGTTATTTCTGATCTTTTTTGTCTTTCTCTCATTCATAACTGCAATAATTGTAAGGATACAATTAATTTTGTTCTCACAGCCTTAAAGGGATTTTGAACATCACTATGGGAAAAAAAGGTTCTTCCGTGCTAATACCCATATGTTTCAGGGGAATCTTACAAAGCTCTTGGGAGTGCTTCAACCTACTAAGGGTAAACACCAAGCGTTTGGTTATTTTTAATTCGAATGGCTTTATGATCTTCTTCTTAACAGCCAGAAGGAGTCAGTACAATCTCATCTTGAATTACTGTGAAATTACCAATGAAATTAAAACATTACTTCATTTTAATAACACATAATCTTATCTACAATTCCTGATTCACATGTGCCATCCAACGCTTTGACACAAAGAGAGAGAGTTACAGGGCTCTAGAAACACAGGGACATTCCTAAACAAGACTCTTATCAGAGATTTTGTCTTTAAAAACACGATCTATAATTTGAAATTTTTTTAAACCCTTGAGCACCTTGCTTTGAATGTTGTTTCTTTGAATATCCTAAAGAATAAAGCGTTGGTTCTATAAGATTTGCATACTAGTCTGGTGCCATCCCACAAAACATATGTCTGTGCTCAAATGCAAGAATCTGTTTTGATTCCCTCTTCTCCTGAGCTACTAAACTTTCTGAATCACCAAATACATCATAATACATAAAACGAAAAGAATGTTTTGGTTAATTTATTACCAAATAGCAATCTTGAAGAAGATAAACGGAACACATCACAATAATCATTCAAGGTAAATGCCCAAAAATCATTTGCGAAGTATAATATATTGTTTCTAGACATGATTATTTACATCCATGGGTGCTACTGAGTCTTATTTAAAAATAACAGATTTATTTTTAACCTAAATATTTTATAGCATAACTATCTAAAAACATCAATATGTTTTTCTAATGTCATTAGCTGAATGGTTAGTTCCTAATATAAATAGTTCTTTGCACTCTATTTTGGCAGTATTTGGGATAATGCAGATTTTCTGCTATTAATATTACTGACATAGCAGCAGGAAGTACTGTTCAAGCATTTTACAAAATAATTTAAGCCGAGACGCGTGCAGAGTCGATTTCTGATTCTGCTACTGAGTCTCTTCGGGTCGGTCTTCGGGCCTGTACAAGCTCTGATGAAATCAGGGTTATATGGGCTGGGACATACGTTCCCCCCGCCCCCAGCTGGGGGCTTTGCTTTTAATTAGAATACCATAAATGCAAACAAAAGACACTATAACCTCAGGAATTAAATATTTGCATTTGCTTCAGCAAATCAGCTTCTTGAAAGAGCCAAATTCTGCATAGACAGAAATCAAAAGTAACTACAATGAGGTTAAATGCGCTACTTTAAATTACATAGGTGTAAAACGTGCCTGAGCTTCGTACAGACCTTTAGTACATTAAAAGAAACCCATTAGCTTGAACAGGTGCAGAATTTCAGACCATTTTGTTTCAGATAATGCAATATATGGAAGAACCACCATTACAGGAATACTACAAAGGCTTGCAATTTCTATCAATTATTTGCCTCTGGGAGATATGGTTTTGTTAGTTTTAAGAAAAGATTTATAGTCTGAGGAAGATTATTTCACGCTAAGATAAACGTACACAGAGGATGTAGAAACTTTAGTACACAAAAAAATTAGAATATTTGCATGCAGCTCTACCAGGATAAATGAAAGTCTCTTCCAAACTCTAGCTCTTCTCTGTGTCTTTTCTAAATGTTCCAAGTGACAAATTTGAAGTGTTGGCAGATTTGAAAAAACACTGACTAGAACTTTGTTTTCCAGCTTTCTCTTTTTACATCCACAAACACACACACGTATCGCATACTGGTGAACGCACCTGAGGCGCAGAGAGGAGGATGCAGAAAGCAGTAGCAGCGAGCCTTGCACAGAAGGCACCGCAGTCTAGGCTGAGGTTAAAGTCTCCTATCTGAGGATCCTCCGGACAACCCTGCTCAGCTGAAAAGGCACACCCCCGCAAAGGGATTAGGAGGGGGACGTCCCATTTTCTGTTTTTGTTTCACAATGATACAGCAGAAAAGACAGCCTCAATACTTTTTTAAATTAATAGTTTTAAGCAAAAAGTAAACAAACCAGGTCTGTCCTACTGTGGTTTTGACAAAGAACAGCAAGGGAGAACTAATGAGATGGCACAAGAGACAACTTTGCTCCAATACTGTTCCATGAATGAACTTCTTCCCGCTTTT